CTCAAATTTTCGAAATTTTTCATCGACAACTAAGGACAGCTACTGATAAATTTTGGTATCATGTATAGAAAATGGGTATACTATGGACTAATGGACTTGACTTATGCTAACTCCAACTTAAGGGGGGCTCCCCCCTCAGAAAAGTCAATTTTTGTCAAATTTATCGAATTTTGTGATTTATAACTCATTAGATAGAGCTAAGTGTCTACTCTCGAATGCACTATAGTTGTTTGATTTTATCATGAGTTTTAAGGATATTACATAGGTTTTTCCGAACCCCCATATTGAAAAAAATAAGGTTTTTAAAAACTTATTGTTCGTTTTTCTCAAAACATGGTTTCTAGACCGAAAAATTGAAATAACTCTCGCTTGGCTCGGCAGACCACCGATGTTTTTTTTTTGTTTTAAAAGTCTTGATTAGAGCTAACTTTTCATCGGACGGATTTTTGATATTGAATCCCAGGACTAAGAAAAGTGGGATTTACTGTCATAGAATCACACTTTTTTATGCTTATTTTGCAAGCATGCTTACAAAATTGCTCATACAAAATGAATGGAAGGAAGTTTCAAAATTCCGTTCGATGAAAAGTTGCGTACAGAGGCTAGCTACAATTTGAAACCAGCTCGAGCTCTTTATCCCTTCTCTGGACCGAGTTATTTCGATTCTCCCGAAAGGTAGGAAACTCAGCCGAAATTGTGTTTTAGTCGGGCATGTCAAGCTGAAATTTTTATCACAAGAGTTTCTCACTAAGACCAATCATCCCTGAAAATTTCAGCCCGAACGGAGGGTCCCAAGTGGGACTTCATTTCTGAGGGGGGCTCCACCTTAAGCTCACTTCACGTGGCCTGCTTTTTCTCGTTTTTTCAATATACATGAATACTTTGTCATTAAAGTTCGATCCTCAACTGTTATCTTTGTTTGTATATTTACTTTTATTACATACTTATATTTTTGTCTCACATTATCTTTTTTTGTATTCGAGTTTTTGTCAAAAAAAGAATGCTTCACACCATTTTAGTACATCTCGTCATCTTCTATCAGCTTTCAACAGCATTCCCAACCAATTTTGGTATGGTTCTTTTTTCGTCCAAATAAAATCATGTATTACATTTTTATTATCTTTATTCTAGGTCAATATGATTTGATGGCGAAAGAAAATGATGATGGAACAACACGATTTTTTATTGTTGGTGACTGGGGTGGTTTACCAGTATCACCATTCGATACACCATCTGAAGTTGCCGTAGCTAATGCAATGGGTATATTAGGTGTAAGATTAAATACAACATTTCAATTGGCATTAGGTGACAATTTTTATAATGATGGTGTTCGGACAGTCAATGACTCAAGATTTCAAGTACAACTTTTTCTTCTCACGAAGAACTAAAATTATTCTTTTTAATCGTTGTTTTAGAATACTTTTGAACATGTTTTTTCGGCGACGTCATTACAAACTCCTTGGTATGTTTTAGCTGGTAATCATGATCATAGAGGAAATGTTTCAGCAGAAATTGAGTATGGAAAAATATCAAAACGATGGTTAGTAGACAAGTTGACTTTTTCATGCTAGAAAAATTAAATTTTGATATTAATAGGATATTTCCTGATTATTTCTATTCATTCTCTTTATGGCAAAGTGACAAACAAAAGAAATTAATTGATTTCGTGATGATTGATACTGTGATACTTTGTGGTGGAGATTCTTTATCAGATTGGGATCACACTCCATTAGAAGGTCCAAAAAATCAACATGTTGCCGAAGCCTATTGGCAATGGATTGAAGAACAACTTCGTCAATCGACGTCTGTATTTTGTTGTATATCAATACGAGTTACATTGTCATTATTTTTTCTTTGCTGGACTTTAGAGCTCCATATTTACTTGTCAATGGTCATTATCCAGTATATTCAATAGCTGAACATGGTCCAACTGAATGCTTGATTGATCGACTTCGTCCACTACTTCATCAATATCATGCAACGGCATACATATGTGGACATGATCACAATCTGCAAGTAAAAAAGAAGCACTATCACTTTTATTCATATAAATTAATATTATTTTAAACATTTTTCTATCTTAGCATTTGACGAATGATATGGATGGAGTACATATGAATTATTTTGTTGTTGGAGCAGCTAATTTCATAGATCCAAGTCAAGAATATGCTAAAGATGTACCGGCTGGTTCACTCAAATTTTTTTGGGCAGATTCACCAGTTTATGGTGGATTTGCTTTGATGGAACATAATAATACACATTTAACTTTATCTTTTATTGATCACTCTGAACAAACATTATATCAAGCAATCATGACACCTCGATTATAATATATTATTTTTTTTCATTCATTTTCTTTTCTATATGAATTTAATTGAGAAAAATAAATTCGATGGGTAGACTGTACATTTTACTTCAGATGGTGCATATAGTACAATAGACTTATGCGAAAAAGAAAGATTTGTGACATTTACATTCTATAAAATATAATGGGTTTTGTAAACATAATGACTGTCAGGATTTTGAATGAAAATTTGAAAAGAAATATTCTTTTATACTTAGTTCATATTATTAAATTGTATTATATACTCTCTTTTCATAAGAAAAGTATGTCGAAAATATGCAAAACTGTACTTTAAATACTAGTAGTTCGTTTTATCATTTAATATTAAACATATATATATTAATAATAATGAATGACAATAATTAAGAAACATACTTGTATTCTTATTTTGAATGAAACAATCAAAAACTGTTGAACAAGTAAATATAGGTAGTGAAATATTCTATAAAATCAGAAAGAGTTATTATCTTCCTTTTTTTCATTTGAAAACGCTCTAGACTATCTTTGAGAAAAAAATGTTTTCATTGAAATATTTTATGTACTCTCTATTTTTTCTCAGTAACATGTAAAGCAGTAGGTACATACGCCGAAGCAGTACATGGTCTTTATATGCCTGGTATTGAAAACACTAATGATTAGACAAAATCTCAAGAGGTAATGGCCAGAGTATTCTTTTCACTTTCATCTATCTCCCTCCTTGTCCCACATTGTTACACTCATTTGCAAGCTAATATTTTTATAAGACGATTTTGTAAATCATAACGAAGTTTGTGTTGAATTTTGCCTATTCCTGTGCAGCCAAAAAGTGACATGCTAGAGAAAGATTTTGATCTCTTTCAGTGATCATTTTTATTTCAATGTGACGCTCAATAGAAATTTTTTGTTTGTGTTTTTTTCATCGTTTCCTGAAGATAACACACATATCATGTAGATGAATATATGGCTATCTGTGACATCAAATCCGTTGTTTTTTTCTTTTTCTTCAGCTGGCTTATATCTACCATAGGTATAAGACGTTTTCCAGTCAATTGCTTCCAATTAAAATTGTTGAATGATAAACGCCGACATTCACTTATTGATTATTACTACTGTCAGGATATTTTTAACATTTGTATTTTACTGCGATTCAGTATAAACTAGGACGTATCATTTCTTCTTTCACCAAGTTATTATTGATATGCTTGTTGATTATAATCAGATACTACGGTGTTAATTTGATGGACGTCATAGTAATAATTTAAAATACATATATTATTTTATGATGAAGTTATTCGTTTAGGTTTTTAAAATATACGACTATGTTTTGATGGACACTAATATAGTTAAACTTAGACTCATTATACTTATTGCTTGTTTACATGTTGTGTTAATGTTATGTTATGATATGCAACTGCTCGATAATATCAAATCGATGATTTCAACGAGTTTAATTGTCTGACTTTTCGCTTGTTTCTGTGACAATTACAATATAAGTTATGCAATGAATATGTCAACTTTTCTTTTCATTGTTTGGTACTTTGCTTATGTGTAAATAGAAAGATGTCGAACTTGTATAGCTCTTTTAAATTCTTCAAGAAATATAAAATATGCTTGTGTGTGTGTGTGCGTGGGTTTGAATGTGTAGAAGCTTGTTTCTACATACAGATCCACAATCACACCCACATTCACCTATATCCACACCTAAGTTCCTCTAAGACAGTTCACATCTGCTACCACTATTTGTAGCAAGTATATGCTTCACAAAATTGAATTTTCTTGAAATTAAATTTTTTCCACTCATTTCAGTTTACAAAAGTTGTGAATCGAAAAAATCTTAAATTGTTCTAACGCTACTTAGAGTATCTGGTGTGAGAACAGGCTTCTGTTCATCCAGATTTACGCACATCCACCCTTAGAGCACATGATGCATTTCAAAAACGTGCTGCGGCAACCTTCCTTGCTAGAGACTAGCATCAGTCCCTTCAAAATTCTTCCAGCTTTACTAGGAAATCATGATATGCCTAACCAATTACAAAGACATCTGCAGAACACTGTCCTCTTTCGCGCTAGCTATGTCAAAAAACATTTGAATTAGTGGGTAAATTTTCGGTCTTATCTAGCGATGCTCTTTCTTTCTACATTGTTTCTCAAATCGCAAACATATATCATCAACAACATATTTTATTTGTTCAAATAATAGAATGTTTTTAAAGTTGCTTTGTTGAAACTATTCGTTTGTCACTCATCTATGTCTCATCTCAATAATATAACCATATCACTATTATCGGTACTCAAAACAAAATAAATCTAGTCGTGAGCAAGAAAGATTTATATTTTTCTGTAATCATATTAATATATAGGTCAAGGTTAGTAACTTATATGCATGATAAACTAGTGATCCATATTAATATATGCACTTATATAAATAATGTAAAATACATGCTATATAACTTTTCAAGGGCGTTTAGTGTATAGCGGAAAAAAAAACAAGTATTTTTTTCAATGTTGAAGAGAAAAGAAGAAATATACGCATCATTGCCATGAGTGGTCTTCTAAATGTTTGCATTCTATATTAACATTCGTTCTGTTACTTGCTTGTCAATATATGAGTAATACTGCATGTAATTATTGACACATCAAATCAACGAGAACGAAAATCAAACTGCAGTCAAGACAAATGTCTTCTCCACTGGTATCATGTTTCTTTTCACTACTCATCTTACTTGTAATTCATCGAATTCATTGTACAAATGTTAGTTTTGTTCCACAACCAATTTACATAACAATCGCTGATCTTCCACAACCTTTCGCTACATCGTCTGCTTCTAAAGGACCTCGAATCATTCCTGTGCCAACAGATCCTCTCCTCTACGTTCCTGATGGATTTACGGTGAAGTTATATATGAGTGGACTTGTATCACCACGTTATCTTATCTATACACCTACAAATGATATCCTCGTTAGTGAATCAAATACTAACAGAATTTCATGTCTCGTAGATAATGATCAAGATGGTTATCCAGATCAACGTTTAACATTTGCTGATGCATCTAATGGACTTAATTATCCATTTGGTATGGCTTTCGCTAATGGATATTTTTATGTGGGTAATCGAGATGTTATTCGACGCTATGCTTGGACTTCTGGAAGTCGACAAATTACAGGTACGGGTGAAATAATAATGAATTATGCTTCAAATGGTCATTCGACACGAACTATTGTTATATCACCTAACGGTGATCGAATGTTTGTTAGTATTGGTTCAGCATCCAATGTCGATGTGGATTCATTACCACGAGCGTCTGTTCAACAAGCAAATCTCGATGGTATTAATCAAACAACATTTGCTTATGGCCTTCGAAATGCTGTCGGTTTAGCGTTTCATCCAATTACTAATGATCTCTATACAACCTGTCAAGAACGAGATGGACTTGGTGATGATCTCGTACCTGATTATTTTACACGTATTCAACAAAATGATTTTTATGGATGGCCTTTTGCTTATATGAGTGCAAACTTGACTGATCCGAGACGGCGTCTAAATAACGGAACAAGTGAACGACCTGATTTAGTATCACTTACACGAACACCTGATGTTCTTTTTCAAGCTCATTCAGCTGTACTTGATATGAGATTTTATACAGGCAATCAATTTCCTAGTCGATATCGAAATGGTGTTTTTGCAGCATTTCACGGTTCATGGAATAGAAATAATGGAACTGGTTATAAAATTATCTTTATTCCATTTAACAATAATACGAATCGACCGATGGGCCACTATGAAAATTTTGTTGATGGATTTCTAATCAATCCACCTGGACCTGATACATTTGGAAGACCAGTCGGAATACTTATTATGAAAGATGGAAGTCTATTATTTTCCGAAGATGGCAATAACTGCATTTATCAAGTCCAGTACAAGCAGAGCTTAAACAATACTAATGGCATCAATTTCGTCATTAGCAGCACTGCTGCTATTACTAGTCCAGTCGTCAATGTCATAACTATCCATTTTCACAACTTTGTCATCACATTTCCGCTTCAAGTCTTCATATATTTTTTTTATATATTTTTTCTTCTTTGTCAACATAATTAAACAACGATCGATGCGATATTTTCTTCAACAAGAACCTTATTTTTTTTTGTGTTTGCTAAAATAAAGTGCGAATACATTAAAACTATTTCTTAAGTATTCATCTTGGAAGAAATTTCTGATTTTGCGTCTAAAAATACTCTTATAATATCTTTTCTTCAAGTCAACAGCACATCTTTGAAATAATACTACAATGTAAATAGTATGCAAAAACAGTTGGAAATAGCTATGGCAAAAAACATTTGTTTTATTATTATTTGTTTTTTACTTATCTTTGATATTGTTTTATGTAGATAGGAAAACAGAACAGCTGAACGAGAAAGAAAAAACGTGAAAAAATCATTCAAATTCAATATTGAAATGGTGATGGATTGATAGCATTTTTTTTAAGATTTAAATGGTACTATTTCATTAAATAAAATTCAATTGTGACTACATGAGTCGATCTAATTATATATGTAACAAACTCCTCCGAAAACGTCTACTTTCGTCCAAAGTGTCAGCAGTGATACGCCTCATGGTCTGGTAAAAATTTCAAGTCAGTCAAAACATCGTTTTCATTATTTATTCATCTGTTATTTCAGAATTTCTTAGAATTTTCAAAACTTAGAAGTAACTTTTCAGAATCAAGCTGATACGTTGCTTAACTTCATTTTTCGATGTGACTATGAAAGAGATCACAGTTGAAACTTAGGATGAAAGTGTAAGTTATTGGAGGACCTTGTGACAGTTTCGTTTATTTTTGTCGTCAGTAAAAATATCGAAAACAAAAATGATAGAATTGTTGATAATGATAGTTTACGAAAGAAGAAATCTTTTCTACCAACACTCTTACATCCTCACTTTCATTCTTTGTTGTTTTTTTAGTATTTTTATTTTGCACCGAAATAGAGTCTACCGTTTTTTTTTCGTTACTCTCAGCTGAAATACGTGATATTTCACTGTCTTAATAGCACGGGCAACATTATATCACCGCTGTCATGTGAGTATTGACTAGTTCATAGGGTAGGAAAGTTGAAAAGAATAAAATTCTGATAGCAAAAAGAAAGTGCGTCATTGATCGATTTCTCGTATTACCTTTGCTATGCAAGTGAAAGTAATCACTGAAAATTACCATGTATAAATATATTACCTTGATCGTAAAAAAACAAAGAATCAAAAAGAAAGTGAGCGATAGAAACCAGGAGTTTATGGCTTCAAGCAATGATTCATATATTAATCAATTTTGTCAAGACTTAATCAGTAGACCTATTGTATAGGTTTCGGCCTTGGTTAAATCATAGATTATCAATGAGTGTGTAAATAGGATACCTACGATTGAAACAAATGAAATAGTAATATCGGGAACTATTATCACAAATAGTCATATTGATTGGTAATAATATTTGTTGAATATTACTTTGTTTCATCATCTGAAAAGTGTGTGGTGGATGTAAAATGTGATTTGATAATCGTTTGTGTTTTTTATAGAAAAAAAAATTAAATTAGAATTTTATATTCAACGAGAGCTCGTAGAAAATGGAATTTAAAAGCTCAATGAGTATTTTGTACAAAATTAAGGATTACAGAATAATCCTATGGATTACCAGTTTGACTCAAAAATCCTATTTTTTAATAAGCTTTCATATGATTTAAAACTTATTGTTTATGCTACTTGACAACACAATGTGTATAGTTTTCTGCAAAAAAAATTCGAATATTATGTTCTCAATCATCTTCTTAAGCTCTTCTTTCAACACTTGCATTTCGATGAATATAAATGTTTGCATATTTCTTCAAATGCATGTGACACTAGTTGTATTTCATCTGAATAGAGTTCAAAAGCTTGTCTTTTCTCATTTTTAACTTCCAAATAATGATCTTATTTCAATTAATATAAGTTATATGAGAGTTAACAAACATTGAAATGACTGCGAATTCAACACATAATGTCTTTTGTCTTCTATAAGTACAAAAAAACATGGATATGAATTACAAAATGGCATGTATTGAAAAAATTCGTTCCAAATAAGTTAATGTATTTTCATTCGAACCAATTTTACATATTCAATCGAGTAATATATAATATTGATGAGTCAGATACGTTAGCTGAATGTGTCACAGCTATCATATTGTAATTAGTAACAATGAAAATTGACATATATAGATAACACTACTATGACATGGTATTATAAGCAGTAGGCTATAAAGAATGGATCTCTCAATATTTTACATATGTTTCAACTGATTCGACTAGGATTTGTTACTTTGGAGTCGACGACGAAATAAAAGTGTCTAAAATTAACAACTTCGAAAAAGAACTTTTTGCCAATTTTTGTTTTACGCATTTTCAATCGTAAGTAAGTTTTGTTTTTCCAGTCTCTAAATTGATATGAATCAACAAACGATAAAAATATATCATTTGTTAATGCTATTCATTTGTAACATTGTAAATGGAATTTTATCCCGGTTTCTGGAAATCTTCATTCGACTTCCAAACTTTTAAAATGCATCATTAGGAATATATTTTTATCATTTGTTAGTTCAAATCAACTGAAAGGTTGAAGAAAAATTTACTTAAGAATTAAAGCACGTAGAACCAAAAATTGATAGAAACCTTTTTTTTTGAAAGTTGTAAATTTCAGACATCTGTTTCATCGTCGATTCCAAAGTAGCACATCCTAATCAAAACAATTGAAATATGGAAGATTATATAGAATTAAAGGGTGTAACTTTGAAAAAAAATTTGCTGGTTCACGTTTTAATACTATCGAGATATATATCAAATACTGAGAGGTCTATTTTCTATAGCCCACTCGTTATATTCATTTTGGAGATAATCAAGCAATTGGTTTTTCTATGAAAATCTTTTGAATAACAAATTAATGGACAACAGTAATGATACGTCTATATTATTAATTAGCTTGGTAACAAATTGTTGTTTGATTAATGATTATATTTTTCTATCGAAGAAAGCTGAACATCTAAATAATAGTTATGAGCAATGAAGTTTATAGCATAATATTATTTCATGAAACTACTGTAGATGAAATAGTCGTATTTTTTTTATACCTATTGTCATAAATGTGAGTATGTGCGTTTGTGTATACAGTCAATGATCATTAGGATATCAATGAATTTTTCATATATTTATGTATATATGCATATCAAGTAGGAGATTGAAGTGAGGATAGGTCATAAAGTGTCGTCGGCGTCAAAATCTCAAATGATTATTGTTGTGTTTGTCCGATATCAAGCAACAAAATTTTGTGCATACTCATTTCAACTAAATAAATATTCTCAATCTATTTGATGATCAAAACATTTTATCGTTATAAATCACACTTGCTCTTCTTCTTTTTATACTTGTGACATTGATATCACCCTTATAAAATACAACAATTATGTGTAATATTTGCTGTTTCTCTCGACTGACAATCTGATCATTCTGTTTTGTTTATTTTTCTGACAGTAAAAAAAAAAGAAAAACGAACAAGTTTGCCACTTCAGTTGACCGTTTGTCAATATGTTTCACAGCGGATATCAGAAATAATGATGATGATGATGACGAAAAGAAATCAATAAACATAGAGAAACAAGAGAGACATCAACACTTGATAATCAAACTACTTATCTATAATGATATGTCGTAAAGATGAATTTTTGTTTTTATGTTATTTATCATTTTATTTTTTTTTTTTTTTTTTGAGAAAAATACATTTATAAAATATACAAAAAAAGAAAACAAGCCAAGATATATTTCATCTATCGATAATAATATTTTGGGATTTTCTCGTTTCTTCTTTTTGATGTTGTCATTGTCATTATAATACATACATGTGTCATGTTTTCTTTTATTCGATGCGTGCTATTCTATACCCATATCAACTATCATTATCTTCCACAAGCAATGGTTAATCCTTGCCATTTAGCCAGGCCACACTTTTTTTTAATTGATGATGACTGGTTGAGTATGAAAGATGGTATTTCTCAAGCAAATCGAATGAGAATGAAAAAAAGCGGAATTTATTCTTGCCAACTGTGTCTATTACTTTTCTGTTATTTATTTTTTTGTACTTCAATGTTAAATCATTGGTAATTCGATCTAGTATCCTGCCATAGACACGCGTACGTAATCGTCATGGCATTGACGCGTGAACCGCCTTTGTAATGTGAATCTCAAACGTTTGTTATTTGTTTTTTTCAATTAAAATTTCAGTCATCATACAAAAGCGACGATTGCCTAATAGATATATTCAAAGTAACAAATGAAAAGTCAAAATCCAGATTGCCTGAATATCATCAAGGGAACAGAACAGAAGAAGAAGAAGAAGAAGACATTGATGATCTATTATTCTTTTTCCATTTACACAACTGATATTGATTTTACAGGACGAGTGTTGATGATAGTGATAGTAGAAAATTGTTTCTCTTCGGTGATTAATGCTGATGAATTATTCATCAACAAGACACGATGTTCAATATCATGAATGACGAATGAATCTATATACACATGTTTGCTGATACATTCGTCTCCTTTCTATCTGTATATGTATATCGAATGGACTTTAGATCGATTTGTCTCTGGACACATACACACAAACGTATGTGTGTGTTGACATCTGATAGGGTTGAAGCGCGCGCGTGTCATGCCGAATCGACTGTATGATATACGGGGCGGAGAGATTGGACGGCAATTAGTTTTCAATGTAATCACTCGAGAATGGCATTTACAAAAAAAAATGAAACGGTGTTCATTTCCGAAATAGTACGTTTGAAGTAGTGATACTCAATTACACTAGCTAGTTTAATCAAGTTGCCATTTACAACAAAAGAAAAAGAAAAAAAAAAGAAAAAGACAAAATCAAGAGTAATGAACAAAAGAAAAAGAAATCTTTTTCTTCTTCCGAATTAATCAATGGATGGATGATACCAGAAGGAGAAAAAGAAAACGATAGAAAGACCAATTGTTTATGTCAGTCAAGCAAGACCAGCTATAGTCAAACTAACAGAAAAGAAGAAACGACGTTGATGCTTGTTTAATTATTTTCTCATTAATCCGTTAATTGGCTGCATGGTATTGTATGCTTAAGCCCAGAATGAGAAAGGGAACGAAAGAAATAGATACGCGTAAAAATAGTAGCAAGAATCTGCTATTATTATCGGATCGAAAGACAATAATTATTTTCTCGTCTCGTTGACGTTTCAGAAGACTTTATCTTTGTCGTGAAAGTTTTTTTTGTTTTCTTTTACCTCTTCAATTTGATGAAACTATGGACAAATGCTACTGGCGTTATTGGTAGGTATCAATCTCATTCTCTTCACTTCATCATCTTTATGTATAAGAGATTGATTGCATGTGAATAAAAAAGAAATAAAGACAACGGTACACAAAACCCAATTCTTCTATCTATTTGTGTCTCGTCGTACAGAGGAAGTACACACACACAGACTATTGACATATACATATATGTATACACACACACACCCGCATTCGCATATTCACTCTCATCAAACTAGATTTTCATTGTTGTTTGTTTAAACAATCCGAATGAGCTCAAAATTCGGTCGCTGTCATTGTCTATAAGAAAAGAATAAGAAGAGCCCATCTGATGGCGCGACAGCACGTTACGATGGATGAACAAACGTGAAATCTATGCTGCGTCATCCATTCGAAGGTGTATGTTAATCTTTGTACTTGAGCGTGTATATAGAAGCTAGATGAATGAATGTGAAAGGGGGGGATCAAAGTAAATAAAGAAGAATAAAGAACGAACAAACGAAAGTATGTATGCAGTAGTAAGAACAAGAATAAAGTTTTTTTTCTTTTTTTTTTTTTTTTTTTACTGTCTCCCTTATCTCTCACTTTCTTCTATTATCTATCTTTCCTTCTCTCAATATGTATGTATGTCTATGTGTGCACAATGTCGATCCTCCATAACTTTTGCGATTTGAGATGGTGATGATGAATAATGAAAATTCGAGGACGTGATCAACTCAGCGACACAACAACAAGTAAGCTTGACATTTTCTTATAGATGTAATACAGACACTCACATTGCTCTTTCATCAATGACAAACGTATATTAACTATGTCATCTGTTTCGGTAAAAAAGTATAAATATTTTTTTTTTTTTTTTTTTTTTTTTTTTTTTTTTATTACAAATTAACTACTTCATATTGAAAATCAGTGTTTTTTTTGTATTTTATATATGTAGTATTCTACAATTCCTTCATACACAATCCATATTGAACTATGATTGGTGGCTGAGTAATGCAAAAAAAAAGCGTGATTTATTCCCATTGGACTCTTTCTTTTTTGTCTCTTCTCTCTACTCACACATAAGCGTTTGCGCGCATATAGTGCTATATGAGTATAAGAAATCGGATATTCACTCTCCCACTCGTTCGCTTGCTCGCGCACACTTCTTTTATTGTATAAAAATGCAAATATGCGAATGTGTAAGAGAGAAAAAGGAAAAAAAGCGGAGTTAGTCTTATGTGCGAATTTCTCTCTCTCTCTCTTTCTTTTGCTCTCCGTAAAAAGAGAACATTTTGTTGGAAGAAAAATCTTTCTATCGTATACGTTTTTTTCTCTTCATCTCATCTCGGTTTTATCAATCAAACTGATTTTGACCTTTTTGAATAAATGGTATTTTCATTAGATTTATAGTCTCTCACATACGTACGCTTCAAAGTTGTGTCATCTATTCACGGCAGCAACATTTTGCGCTCTTTAGGTAAGTGATCTTTCTTCTTCTTTTCTGATTACTTCGCTCATGTGATTTTGGCATCTGATCAAATACACCTGTGATAATGTTATTTGTTCACTGAAAAAAAGAAAGAAAAAGACCTAAATCAGAAAAGAAAGAAATATTTGTATCTTCAATATGACATATCAAGATGAAAAAAAAAAAGAAATAAAATGCTGATGACATTAACAATATCGATGTCAATAATAAAAAAAGAAGAAGAAGAAAGATAGTGACATTTATTCAGAATTCATAGTAATCTTCTTTTTCTTTTTACTATGTGTCCAACGGTTGCTATTACTAAATGGACTTTGATCTTTTCTTTTCTATTGAACTCTGTAGATATACACTTTCGAAAAATAGTTTTTAACCTCGTGTATGTACAAGAAAAAAATTCTATTAAGTGTCCTTTTTTTGCTTGAAATATTACCTAGTCAGATCTGTTTTTCTTTTCGTTGTTGGTCAGTATAATAAGTCGAAAAATCGACGATAATAAGAACGAGTAAGAACGAAGATCTTAATTGATCATTCGTATTATGAGTTCATTTAAGATAAATAGATTCGATTGGTTAAGATTATGAAATAATATTGTCCAATCATTTTTGTTTCCGCATTAGACAGTGGCTGCTGTATCGATGAATTTATCCATTTTGAAAATCTTCGATGTACGACAAATTCTCGAGTTTTGTAGTGTTTTTACATATGAAGTAAGAAATGATATATCCTACCGTTGATGAAACGAGCAATGACGATGACGACTGTCTCGTCTTTATATGTATATACATGTGCTCTAACGCTGAACTTTCGAAGCGCTATTCACTGATATTTAGAAGCGAAAAGTCAATGTATTATCAAAGAGAATATCGTCGTTTTTTTCTCTTTTTTTTTCTCTCTCTTTATTCTTGGTGGCCACTGCCTATGTGTCTGTCTCTATGTGTACATGCACAACGATAAGGTCGCGTCATTTCTAAAAATGTTAAACATTCTTTTTATGCCATTTTGGGCACACGCCCGCCCGCTGTCGTCATCGTAGCGCGACATAAAAGGTTAGTTATGTTTAATTTCTATATTTGTGTGCAAATGGACATCTAAATATATTTCTTTATATATGCATATATTTGAACATATATACAATAGAAGAGAACTCAGAAAGAAAAAAAAGTTTTATAGAGACATGATTCGCTTTTTGTTATTCCCAAACATAATATAAAAATTTGTACCTGTCAATCATTGACACATGTGTTTAATGGCGGCAAATTTGTTTTAATAAAATGATCCTCGTGTAAATGATCGCTACATGTGCATATATATATGTATGCATTACTACAACTAATGAAGTTTGAGAAGTGTGTGTATGTGTGTATGGACGGCATCACTATTTTGTAGCTTTGATCGTGATGAAATAATTATAAAAACATTGAATTAGGATGAGCAAGTGAATTAAACCGAGCGTTTTCTATCCACTTGTTATGTACTTATCTGTACATATATATATATATATATATGCATAGGAAGAAATAGATTTACTAAATCTATTTTTTCCTCTGAACTTTTCCGAATGTAGACAATGATAAATGGCCATGTAATTGAGTTTGTAGAAAACAATAAAAAGAATGTCTAATCGATATGTCGTCACATAGAATATACAAGCAAATTATTGTTTTTATGATCTTGTTCATGAGATAACTTAGTTTTATGTTTGAAGTTTCTTGTTTTCTCATTCATCATCCGGATGTTCAATTCTTTTTTGTTGACAGGATACTAGTTGTTACAGTTCACCTCGTATCTACGTGCTGTCCCTTTCGGATATCCTGTACATACCATCATCAAATGTATTGAATACCGCACATATACATACGCAAAAGCTCATACATATGCTGTCAGCTAGTCAAATTAGCTGCAAGATGTTTAGCAATCATCATCGCTTTTTTTCTTCTTCTTCTTGTTCTTCTTTTCTTTTATTGTATAGAAAAAGAAGAAAATCTGGAAATAATTTAAGATCAGGAGTCTATATCTTTAATGAATGAGAAAGCGAACAACACGTGTTCGAACTGTCAGAATCAACAACAGGAGATTCGTATAATGTAAACATACAAGTAGACAGATACAAAGACTTGGTCAAATTGTAAGCTAGCCTATAATTAACTCGAGAGATTATAAAAGAAAAAGAAAAAGCGAATAGTAAATTGGGCAGTAATAATGATGATGAGCATGAACAGTAATATGAGCTAGGATAATAGAAAGAAGAATAAGCAAGTAAACGCGTGCCAAATGCCACAAAGGGTATCCGGCTATGTTCGTTAGTCGACCTTTTCCAATTTAGATACATGCGAATATAATGATGAATGAAAATAAAAAAGAAAAATAAAAAAAAAAAAAGAATTTTAATCAAACATTTTTGAAATTGAAAGAATTGTCATGAAGAAAAAAGATGTGAGAAAAAGTGTTCTTTAAAAGATGTCTAAAAAAAAACTAAATTGAAAATGTTTCTTTTAGTGCTCGTATCATGAATACAGATAATCTTGGCGTTAATGGACCGGGTGTTGGTGTTACCAACGATCTATATGGTCATCATCACCTTACTCATCCTCATCTACTTCCACCTCATCATTCACAACATCCATCGACAATCTATTGTTCTTCATCAAACCCTTATACGGAATTATTTTCTCCATTTTCAACTGATTTTGTAACACCTCACGATACTGGTACGAATACTAATGTACCAACTGATTATCTCACATTACCAAATTCTCTTGATTATGTTGTTTCACATCATCATAATCATCATCATCATCATCATCAACAACAACAACATCTTCATCATATGACTAGTTCTTCAAATGGAGAACGAACATCATCATCTGTTGGTACTGGTATTAATGGTTCTGATGTATCTCCATCTCATTCGTTTGCTACAAGTAGTGGTTATTCATCATCAGCTGATTATTATAATACATCAATACTTAACTCTAAAACAGGTCTCAATAATACAAATACATCAAATACAACAACAACTAATAATAACAATACATCAACAACAAGCACAAATAGTCATAGTCCATATGATGGTACATCAACAGCAAGCACATCATCACCACCACAGTCAACAGCATATTTAACTACAGCAGTTAAACAAGAAACAATGATGCCAACCCCTTTTGCCATCGATCCGCATAGTAATTATGGTACCTATTAAATTTATTTTTTGTTCTTTTCATTCGAATTTAATTTTCTTTTGCCATTTTTGTTGTAATAGGAAATGTTAATGGAACAACATCGGCGACTAGTACTAATAGCACAAACAATAATAATAATCCCAATTTCGGTCTTAGTGTTGATGAATATGGTTCTCCATTATATCATCCATCGGCAGCTAATGCTTATTCATCATATTCACCAACAGGTCTGTTACAAGCATCTTATCCAGTTGTACCTTATGGTGTATCCCATGCTGATCAAATGCGATTGTATAATTCACAATTAAAAAATGAGTTTGGGTAAATAACAAAATGATACTTTTTTTTTCTTAATAGAAATATTGTTCCTTCGTCTTTTTTTTTCATAATTTAGTATCGATATGCGTTTTAAATTAGTTGGCAATCAACGAGTTTCACCAAACGCTGATGTATCTCCATCACAATTATGTGCTGTTTGTCAAGGTAAATAATTTCTAAACATTTCTAATCGATTTTTGATGTTTATTTATATATAGATTCAGCTCAATGTCAGCATTATGGTGTTCGAACTTGTGAAGGTAAGTTGATTATCTTTATTCTTTAGCATTTTTCTTCTTCTTTCATTCGGTATCTTTTTTTTCTTTTGTAGGATGCAAAGGATTCTTCAAAGTAAGTTAAACTGTCTACTACTGGATAATCTCTTTCAATCATATATATAAATAAAAAAAAAATTATATATGGATATTTGAACATGACTCGATTTTTATTGATTTATTTATTTAGCGAACAGTACAAAAGAATGCTAAATATGTATGTTTGGCAGATAAAAATTGTCCAGTTGATAAGCGACGTCGAAATCGATGTCAATATTGTCGATTTCAAACATGTCTTGCTGTTGGCATGGATAAAGAAGGTAACAAAAAAAGAAATGTCAAAGAATTTTGTCGGATAGGAAGACTACCTTTTATTTAAAAACGTTACGTACGCTATTTTGTAGAGCAACATATGACACATCTAATTTTATATAGGAAATCGTATTTTCATCGATTTCTAATGTTTCGAGAAGTCACATGCTAGAGCAGAAATAATATAGAGATTGTAGATGATATAACCAAATATTAGAACTTAGTATGTTGTCAAACCAATCTATATCAGATTTTGTTTAAAACTTCTTCAAAAGAAGCACTCTATTAGTCATAAAGGAGATGAGGATGCATGAATATGCAATATTTTTAATCCTACGAAAAGATCGCAAGATTCATATGTATTTATGTGCCTTTAAGGAATCGCAATATTGACCCTTTTTTCAGGTATTAGTTGACTGATTTAACCATGACAACACCAATTCAGAGGACATTCAATTGGTATACTTATAAAGCTGGATGGCACACAATATGTGAAAGAGTTGCATTGTTGGTCACTTTTACCCTCAGAAACAGTATCGAAGAATTTGAGTGTCATAAAGTATACACGATTAAAGATGAGATACAACTCTATTGAAGCAACTTTAATCAAAATTTAACATAGATTGGCTTGAAAACATACTGAGTCCTAATATTTTAATCTTATTATCTAAAATTTCTATAATATTCCTTAACTTGTATATGACTTCTCCGAATATTAAAACTTGATGGAAAAATCAATTTCCTATATACCGATCGATGTGTCTCAAGTTGCCCTGCAAAACAGTATAGATGGCTTTGCAAATGAACAGTAGTGATCTTCTTCGATAAGATCCTTTCACATGACTTATTTTTATTTTTCTGTTTAGTTGTTCGGACAGATGCGTTAAAAGGTCGTCGTGGTCGTTTACCGTCAAAACCTAAAAGTCCGAGTACAAGACAACCAAATAGTTTTCAAACTCAATTTTGTCGTTTCTATAATGATTCCATACCAAATCCGGCCAGTCTTGATTTTAGCAAATTGAATGTAAAGGTTTTTTTCGTTTTGAATTGAAATCTATGTAATAATTAGAGTTTTTTTCATTTTATTCTAGTATCGAACAGTGACAAATAAAGAAAGTTTATGTGAAGAAAAATTACTTGTTTATGATGCACTCATACGTTCATGCGATATAATTAAACAATGGGTTGATAAATTTTCATTATTTTATTCTATACAAAATAATGAACGTGATCGTCTTTATTCAAATTGTTTATTAGAACAAATTGTATTGCGTACAGCATCACGTCTTGATGGTGATCGTGTTATATTATGTTCAGGTATTGTTGTACATAAAGTACAAATAAATTATTTACTTGGTGATGTTGCACAACAAATATATGATTATGCATCCACATTAAAACTTCAAAAAATTGATTCAATCATTGCAGCAACACTTGCATCAATTCTATTACTTGATTCAAATAATCCTGGTAAAAAGAAAAAATAAAGACTTGTTTGTATGAAAAACAAAACTTTTTTTATTTTTAAGATTATGTTTATCATCGAACACCATTATCATCAACTGTTACTGAACTTTATCAAAAAATAGTTGATTCTTTGAAAGACTATTTAAAACAACAACATGAAGATAGTTCTGTTTATTTACAATTATTAGAACGACTAAATGATGTTAGACATATTGCACATAACTTAAGAAAACGTTTGTCACTTTATCGACATTCAACTGGATTAACAAATTCAATGAATACATTACTTGATTTAGTGTATGTAGAATTGTATTATTAGAAAAAAAAAACTGAGAACTAATTATTTTAGACTTGAATGTAAACCAATATCGACCGATTTACAAACAAATGAAGATAATACAACGTTACCATTTATTCAATATGATCTATAACCAATTCGGTTTTTTTTATTTATAGACATATATACACAAGTATTATTTAAATCCATTGCCACCATCACCGATGTTCTTCAGTAGTTATTAAAGTCATACGGGTCACACCTTTCTGTCTTCCATGATCCACGTACACACCCATTTTTGATTGTCTTTCGTTCTTTTCTTTATTGTTGTTGTACAGCAGATTATTAATGTTGATGATAATAATGACTGAGGGACACGCACACACATACACACACTTACACACATACCGTATTTTGTGTCTTCTATTCCTCTCGGTCTTCCATCTAATCCTTTCATGTGCACCATTATCACTACCAAATGACCGATTTGTTCTTATGGCTTGTATACAACCTTTATGGTTTTCTCTTTTGTTTTCCTATTATCTCTGTCATATAAATGGAGACTGCTTTTTTTTCTCTTTTTTTTTCTATTAACTATTATGTGCGATGCAAAATAAATTCAATAAAAAAAAATTTACAAATTCGTGTTTATGTTTTTTCTTTCTTAATATTATTTTCAATGATAGATTTTTGAAGTTGATTAAGACGAAGAAGATTGACAAAAGTTTCCTACAAAAAAACAAGATTTTAATAATGAAATATGTTTATAATTTCTTTCTCATAATTATATGCTTACGTTGTAGAGATGAGGTCTCGTAATAAGAAATTGCTGCCATACATCAGTAGTGAATATCTAAGTATAGAAAAAAGTTAATGATATTCTTATAAAAAAATGTTGAGAATATCTCTGTGTTTCTCTTTAACAGCTAATATTTAAATATTGAACTGCATATGTGGAGCACAATATACAATTATCTTCTTCGAATGGAGTAAAATGATACTAATAAACTGATTCTTTAATATTCTTCTTCCTCTAATAAAGAACATTTTTAAATAATCAATCACTTTCTCACGAAAAACTACTCGACGATAGGTTATCGACCATGCTAGTTTTCCTGACTTGCAAACATTTCTTCAAAATAGTTTTAGATTTGTTCATGCAGGAATATATCCTGCTGTCAGAAGCCGTTCGGCTTCATATTATGGCTAAGAGTAGAACACGTTGAGACTAAGAAAAGCTTCAAAAGGTTTGTGCTCATGATCCACTATAGTTGAAATTATGTCTATAGATACGTTCAGTAATCATCAAATAGTTCTGAAAGTTTCAACAAAAACAAATATGCCTTCTTTAGAATTTTTCATTTTGAAGTGAACTCGATTGCATTATCCTCATATTATTGTAAATCGCTGGTTTTTTCTGAATATTGAATATTTCAAGAAAGACATATTTATGTTCATTGAAATTTTGAAGATCATCTAATGACTAACAAACATACCTATAGACAAAATTTCAATTCAAAAACTTTTTACTTTGAATTTTTCGGAAAAGCATTGTTCTCAGTACAACTTTCATTACAACGGACATAATTCTTCCATAGTAGACCATAGACCCAAATCTTTTTCAGCTCTTCTTAATTTCACCTAGACCTGCTTGTAGCCATGATGTGAAGTCGAATAGCGTTCTACATTTGTATATGTTTTTTTTTTCATCAGACTATAGAACATATCGAGTTGTCTCTAAGTCAATAGTATTTTCTATTTTATAAAAATAAGTTTGAATGTGGGGACGATTTTTCCTAACTACCAGTTGCCATGATATTTGCAGCATTGTTATTAAGATTTAATCTTTTGTGTTTGAGAAAAACTGTTATTACCAGGCACTACAGTAGTATCTGTCAATATTACACTTTATGCGATGCTAGGTGGTCTTAAATTAAAAACACAGTTATTGTTGAAGGTACATTTTAGTAAAATAAATTAATTATGATTCATACATCGAAATCTCTCAATATTAAGTTGAGAGAGTTATTTTCTGCATCAGTTAAACAATCGAAAACATTTCAAAGGAGATGATAGTAATAAGACTTCTATGGTACAAGTTAATGTAAATACCAATTCTTTCGAAAATCATAATCAAACTACAAACAATAATTATGATAATTGAATGAATCATAAATGAACTCGTCTAATTTTTATTATTTTTCTTTTATTTAATAACTGATGCAAAGATATATGTGAAAATGTCGAAATCTACCTCTCAACAACTTAATATTGCATTAACTTCGTTATAATTTGTTTACAAGAGCAAACTTTGAAGAGCATATACATTAAAAAAAAGCACTTTCTGGAACACCCATTTTTTAATTTCGTTTCCGTTGCCTATTCTCGCGAGAAATGGGACAAAAAAAGAAGGAAAAAAATCATTTCTGTGGAACATCAAAAAAAACTTTTTCTAATCTAAAAAACCAGTGTATGAAGACCTAAGGAAATCACTCATGGCCATATATGGAAGTAGCATGGTCGATAACCTATAATGCAATAGCTTTCGTCATTCGCCAGAGAAATACTACTTATTTTCGTTACGTTTTATGAAGAAAAAACAATCTTTTTTTTCTCTTCATTGTTTCATATTACATACCTGTGAATATTGTTGACATAAAAATGTGAATATACGATTTTTAAGTATTTTCATTTGTTTATCATCAGCTAATTGTAATAGTTCCAAACAATTTTTTTGGGTTATATGATTCAAACATTTCTTTGTTAAAATATTTTTCAAATGAAACAATTCAAATAAATCAGCTGCATTTAATAAATCACGAATTTCATCAATTGAAAATTCTCCAATACACATTTCAATTTCACCAGTATAAATATATCTTAAAATACGTTGAAGAATAATTCCATTAACGAAATCTATTTGAATTTTATTCATTTGTTGATTTGTAGAAATAAGTTCGGTAAACTTTTCACATGATGTACATAGTATAAGACGATGTACATGAAATTCTTGACCATCTAAAGAAGAAATAATGAAATCAGTAAAAAGTTTTTGTTTTGACATAAGCCAAAATATATTGCCGATAGTTAATTCTATCATAGGATTATGATTATAAAATCTATTAGCATCACCACTAGATACATTCGAAAGAAAAGATTGTCTATCAAAGGATAAATTTTCAATAATTTTGTTGTTATAAGACATAGATTTCCAATTATCAATTGTTGATGAGCATTCATAGATAATTAATTTGATCGAAAACAATATATTATTTGACGAAATGGAGAAGATTGTATCACGAGGTAAGATAATCAATGCTCGATTAAAATGCACTTGATGACGACCTTCAGTTTTTAATAGATTTAAAATGCTATCATCAGCTATTTCAAATACTATTCGTCAAAGATAAAAAATTCTTGATGAGATTAATATATAAATAATTACCTTGATAGTTGGTTTCGAAGAGTGTTTGAGAAGATTGTTCATATCCATTTACTTTTAGAACTTCAAATGCACAATATGACTGATCATCTGACAATGATTCTTCTTCACTTGTTGTAATTGAATATTGTGGTAAAATATTTAATATATCATGATTTAATATTGGAATGTCAACTGTTTCTTCTGATGATATGACTTTCGTAAGATCTTTCTTCGTTGTTGTTATTGATTGTTCAACATTTGATATTGGTTTTAGTAAAATTTCATTGAATAATTGATTGAGAGATTCTATATATGGTAATGAATTTTGATTTTCCTTGTTGTTTATTACGTTTCGAAGAGTATTGAGTAAAGCTTGACGTGCATTTTCATCATTTTTGGAAATTTCATTCAATGCACTATTATTACCTGTTTTTGTACAACATTCATTATGATCGATGAAAGTAAATGAATTTTTATTTTTTGATGATTTCGATGCTCTGGGATAGAAGCGAATAATCCAATGTAAAAATCCATTTTCACCAGTGCAACCAAATGGACTGGATTGTACATAGAAATCTTGTTTCTGATTGTTTAAAGATTGAATATCGGATAAAAACCAGCGATGAACAATAATCTGTTCAGAACATATTTTGTATAAATTTCTATTTGGTTCTTTTCTATTATTTTTATTTTCTGAAGAAGAATTGTTTGAATCAGTTTCGCTTTGATCATCGTTAGAATTTGTTGGTGTTGTACCACTTTCATCGGTCCACGATTGTGAATAGCTCATAGACGTATTAGAAAAAGATCATGATTTTTTAATAAGAAGAATGAAATATGACATAAAAAAGATTTTAAAAAACAAAAAAAATAACTATGATATAATTTCAACACGAAACTTTCTTTTCTTTTGCATAGTTACGAATAAATTTAAATTAACCCAGACAAAAAGAAAAAGAAAGAAACATATTGGAGAACTTTATATTTGTTTCTTATTTGTAATACAGGAATGTGAGACAGGTGTGTCTAGATGTTTCGTGAATGCACGCAAGCGTAGGTTGTTTGTTTTTCTTGTATATATGTATGTGTTCGATGCACACTGGCAATTATCACCACGATGATATTTGCCGAAATGTTACCAGTGCATTGGTATATCTATGTATGTATGTATGTATGCAATCGACAACCGTTTTGAATTACAAGAGAGAGAAAAAAAAAGAAAGGGCGATTCGGGAGCTCATTTTTTTTCAATCATCATTGATCTGCATCGATAATCATTTTTCTTAAATTTTTATTTTGTTTTATTTTAATTGTATGGTTATGTGTGTGTATGTGAAAAGATCACGAGAGAAAGCAAGCAATCGGATGCCGATCTATCAATAATGGCGTCGTCAATGTCATGTCCTTTACCCATGACAAAAGAAATAGTTCTTTGTCGACTCACATCACCCACCAATCAAAGAATGTATATATAAACACATACGCCAATCTTGTCGTTCTTTCCGGTAGTATTGATGTGTTCTCTATACTCATCATCTATCTAGTTACAAATGTTCTTTATTCGATATGACTACAAAGATTGGAAGCATGATGAGAGAGAGAGAAAAAAACAGCGAGCAAGAATGAGAGAAAGTTTCACCGATGTTGTCGTCGTGGGTGCCATATCATCATCATCACCATCACAATAACATTGCCTGAAGGTTTCATCTACCACCAGTTGCAACTAATCA